CCGACCTGAAAATCACTAAAGGGGAGCTTTAGTCCAAGGTCCTTAAAAGCAATCTCATACATGGGAAAACCGTACTCGGGGAACTCCGAGCAGATCCGCGCGGTAAGAGTCGGTCTGGTGACAACGAAGTTTTTCTGAAAACCGGTTTGACTACCGCCCTGCTCGACGATAGTATACGCACTCCGACTGCGCCGATTGTAAGCAGAAGCAATCCCTCTGGGCTCGGCGCCCACCCACTCCAGCAGAGGATCGTCGATGGTATCGACCAGATTCACATTCTCCTCGGCGCTTTGATCTTCCACCTCATTGTGCCCCGAGGAACACGGTTCATCCGCCATTGTTACCTGTAAAGCACAAGAAGCCGGTCAATTGGGGAGCAAATTCACACGCTCGCCATAACTGACGGGAAGAAGGGCACAACCAACCGAGTCACACTCCACACACGATTAAAAAGTTGAAGTTTCAAACAAAAGAGTGGAGTCACCTTCCTGACGCCAAAATGCCACGACAAGTCTTCCTACAGATTGCCTAAATGGGCCAACATCCCGGCCAATCACGAATATGTCGACCTAGGCTATGGACATGGCGAGCGATATCATAAATCCTGAAACTAGAACTATGAATTTACCGGGCACTATCACGAGTTAGGCGCCCTGAATCATGAAGATCCCGGGCAGCACTGAGAATCACATACCTAAACTATGTGTTTACCGGGCACAAACATGCGCTTGCCGGGCATAAACATGGATTGGCCGAGCGAAAATACGAATCTACCGGGGCTAATCCTAGACGCACAGTCTCTAACGTATAAAACAATGGAAAATATCATATACCACAGAGGAAAAACAAAAGGGACAAGACGCTTACTTGAAATCAGGAAAGAGATACGGCGGCGGAGAAGAGAATCAGCGGCGGAGAGCACGGCGGTCCTATGAAAATCTGGAAAGAACAACATCAGCAGAGGCAGAGGAAGGAGGAGAAGCGCGAAGAGGAAAAACATGTTCTGGGGCCCAAGGACCCTATTTATAGTGATGACGTGGAATACAAAACGTCACCCCGGGGAACCACGAACTTCCCTCCTTGACGCATAGCTCCCCTAGGCAATGATGGCCCTACCTTCAATAGGGTGGCGGCACGGTTCCCAAGAGATGCCTCATGTGCTCAACGAACACAGCCCATCGAGAGTCCCCCGGGCACTCCTCGAAAGGAATTATCTCACGAGCGCGACACAGGGGAAACTCCTCGAGTGACCACGGGGAACTAAATCTCTTGTCCGAGCACGGGACCTCGTGACAGAGGCGAACTATGATCAAGCCATGGCTCCTACTCCAGGAACCACGACTTGGGGGGCTCCTATTCTGGACTGGGCCGGGCTGGCCCAAGAGCAAGGATGAAGGCCCAATCCAAACGGCTTTGCAGAGGGTCGCGTCGACCAAGAAGCTACAGTCGTGTCCGCCACCTTCCGCGAGCGCGACATCCTCGACTCCATGCAGTCCAGCTCGACCTCAGCTCGAGCACCCCTCGTAGGGCAGACTATGACCATTACACCACCACTTGGATTCCGAAAAGACCGTGTCCTCGTCCGCCCGTACTTCTCGCCGAACACCCAGGAAGGAGACCACGTACGGGTCCCCACTACACACGTAGAACCTGGAAGTTCCTTCATTGGGCCAAACCTGCCCGGCCCAATGAAGGGACCTTGGCCCAGCGCTGAGGGCTATAAATACCCTCTGTTCCCAGAGGGTCAGGTATTCATTCTTTACCATACACACACTTTCTTGCCTGCTCGTACTGCCACTTACTTTAGCATCGGAGTGCCTTGCAGGTACCCTCCCCCCCCATCTCGTTCAACTTCAGCTCGGAGCCAGTCGTGACGGTCCAAGTCTGATCTGGTAAGATCATTATTAATAGTGGTACTGATTTTTTTCTTATCCACCATTAAAGGGAGGTTGGAAGGGTTCACATCTACCTCAATATAGTGAAAGAGAATATCTTTTCTTCTTTCTGATCTTCCAGCAACTACTAATTTGTTCATTAAGGGTCCTCTAGAAAGGTGGATAATGGTCTCTCCCCTATTTTTAGGATTGAAATTCTGGTGTATGCGAGTCTTCAGATGTTACACTCAATGTCTAGACATCTGATATGACATAATAAGTACACTGCAAGGTAGATACCCAATTTTTCGTGATTCAGTACTAAAGAATAACAGAAGCACAATTTTATCCAAGCTGCGCCAGATATACTTTGAAGGTGCAGAGGATAGAACACACGATGTACCTAGTTCTGTTCATCTGTTGCACATGATCAGCAGAGAGCAAACAACCTTCACAGTTCTGTTTCTCCTGCACAGATATCAGCATGATGTCTTAACATGTTCTGAGACATCATCTGTTACAACATTACAGTTTTACCTTGATATATAACAGACAGAATTATAAAGTGTTGAAGGTAAAAACACAAATCAGTTGTTGACCCAGTTCGGTGAAACACACCTACTCTGGGGGAATACCAAGCCAGGAAGAAGATCCACTATCAGCAATATTAATTCAGGACTAAACTTCACAAGTTCCCATCCCTCACTTAATCATTTACCCAGTGCAACCTATACCTAGGAACTCCTAGATAGAAACCTACCAGTTTCCATTCCTATTGTCGCAACAACAGAAGTCTTACTCCTACTCAAGAAGTAGTGCCCTCCCACTTGGTTTCCTACATTACAATGAATATGAAGTAATGCAAAAATACTTAGACTTGCTTCACAGCTTCGTCCAAGAACACTCAAAACTCTTACCTACAGGTATCGAGTTATACACATGGTAACCTTGCCACAGACCGACAGGTTTACCTAATAGAACACCCCCAATATTACATTATGTGTGTCTTGCAAAACAGCAGCTCTGTTGAATATATAGCAGCTGCAACTTCAGTTAGGGTTTCCACAAAAACCTAGGGTTAGTTCCGTTTGACCTAAAGACCAGGTCACAGGACTTTATTAACCAGGTTAGGGTTGAGCTAGGTTACCCCTCAGAAAACGCAGGATTCTGTTAAGGAAAGACTGAGTTATTTTCCTGAAAAAAACTCATACTTATCCAACCTGCAAACCTGTTAGTTCAGAACAGGATGTCATAACATCTGTTATGACATCTGAGAAAACCTGTCTACTGACTTAGCAAAATGTGATCATTTTGCAAAATGCTCAGATACACACTTATAAACATCAATACTTGAATTACAATATTTTTCTGCAAAGGTACCTAATGAGTCAGTACAAACTAAACTAGAATGTTATGACATCAGTCATGACATTCACACATACACTTGGGATTTACCAAAAATGCAAGCCAATACCTAAACACCTACAAGGATGATTCTTGGTATGATCATATTACTCTAATAGTTTGTTTTCTAAGCCATTAAATGCTCTAAAGATAAACATATTAGAAAAATGTTAGAGTTTGAAAATAAAATAAAGGGGAACTACTACGAAAACATATATAACAACAGCTGCAGAAGACCTATAATAACGGTTGAACAACTTTGTTAAGTAGGATGTAATTTTAAGAAATTTATTTACAATTATGACCTATTATTCATAATAGTAAACTAGATATCACACTACCTACAATCATTGTTATACTAATTAACCATTGTTGTATTAAACAATCGTTGATGTATAGCAATAGAACAACAACAATAGCAAGAACAACAATAACAATTACAAAAAAAAAAAGAATAACAAGAACAACAACTAACATTGCTAACTTAAATCTATATTTTCCTTATCTCATTCAAGTTGGAGAAGACATGATGGAGTTATGAAGTTTGTTAATGAAAGAAATGATGTTTTTGAATTTTTTTTATAGAAGAAATGATATTTTCGAACTTGGTTTAGTGGAGAAATAGAGTGTTGTAAATGAAAATGACATTTGGAGGTAGAAGATGAAGTTTGTCTAAGTTGGAAGTTCGTCTAACTTTTAGATTTCATGCGGATCACTAATGGTGTCTTGAGTGTTCAAACTCAGTAAATAGACGACAAAAATTTATTTAAGGACGGTGAAAAAATTCAATAAACACACCTATATTTCCTATGAACCTGGGTGTAAAAATGTTTAAAATAAATAAAAACACAAAATTGTAGGGGTTAGGATTCGAACTCATGACCATGTGTAATTTTTCACCACGATTGAAAATTTCAATCGTGATAAAAAATGACTTAAAATAAATAAAAAACTATACTGTAGGTGTTAGAATTCGAACTCACGACCATGCATCAATTTTCACCATGTTTGAAAGTTTCAAACATATTAAAAAATGACTTAAAAAGTTTCAAGCATGATGAAAAATAATTTAAAAATAAAAATAAAAGAAAAATACCCAAATAAATAAATTTTACCAAAGTAAATACTTTAACCGAGGTAAAATAACTTTACTAAAGATACTTTTATAGTAGCGGGGTTTAGTCATGGCGTGTGTGTCATGTTGATAAAGTTTAGTCATAACCGGTAATTTGCTCTATGAAAATGAGTTGATTTTTAGTTAAACTTTGCTATTGGGTTTGATTTAGGGTAGTTGTAATTTTCCTATTCACTCTAGCTAGTTAAATTGGTTTGACGACCCTCTATTATGTATTAGAACGGCAATTGTATTAATGTTTGTTTTTGATTGTTTGATCATTTCTCTCTTTTATATTTAGTTGAATATCCTTTATACTATGTTCTTTTATTTATAAAAAATGGTATAAATAACTTATAATTTCCTTTTTTCATAAAAAAAAAAAATTATGTATTTTTTGGTCGGCAATACATTACAATTTTTAAATAACTATGAAAATGACAAAGTTAAATTGTGAGAAAAAGAAAACAACTAGGAAAGTTCATAATAATGATGGTCCTGTTTGTAGCCTATAAAAACTAAGCCTCAATTCCTAGTTTCTATTCACAAAACAACATCTCTGAGTGTTGTTATCTTGTTAGTTAATTGTTTATTTCACTGCATGAAAAATGTGTCGCATGAAAATATCATTGCTGTCTATGTTCACTCTTTGCTTGATATCTGCACAGGCAGCAAGGTTTGAAATTATCAACCGATGCTCCTACACCGTGTGGCCAGCTGCCATTCCCAAAGGCGGTGGTAGGAAGTTAAACTCGGGACAAACATGGAGTCTAGACATCCCAGCTGGAACCTCATCGGGCCGAATTTGGGGCCGAACTGGTTGCAACTTTGACGGCTCAGGCCGTGGTGGTTGTCAAACCGGTGACTGTGGTGGTGCCCTAAGTTGCACCTTATCTGGTAAACCTCCGACCACACTTGCTGAATTCACACTTAACGGTGGAAACAATCAGGATTACTATGATTTATCTGTGATTGATGGTTTCAACATTGCAATGCAAATTGCTCCAACCTCTAATGGATGCAACAAAGTGCGAACTTGCAGACAACGTTCTTGCCCTGATGCTTATCAGTATCCCAGTGATGACACTAAAACAGTTTCATGCCCAGGTGGTACCAACTATAGGGTCACCTTCTGCCCTTGAAGTGGTTGATGTTATAGTTGGTTTTCTAGCATAAATAAAATAAAACCTGTGTAGTAAAATATAAAACAGTAAATATTGCTTAATTTACTCGGGAATTATAATTTCACGAGAATGCAATATATAGAATAAATGGTCTTATGATGAATACTGTCTATCTCTATAGTTATTATTATTTTGCACTAGATAGTGTTGTCTGTTTTCAAGTCAAATTTTATAATAACTTATAAAAATAAAAGTTGAGTGGATGAAATATAATTGTAAAAAAACACAAAAGAATGGTTTTCGTAATCTCCCTACTTTTTTTATTTGGTCACGTTGCAATGATCTCAGCCGTATTTCTTTATAAGCCAAGGGAAGAAACTAAAAAAAAAGAAGCACTAGGGACGCAAATCCAAAATAAAAATAAATAAAAAAAAAAAAAGAGAAAATCATCTCAAGAAAAAAAAACCTCAAAAAAAAACCATTAGCCCACACAAATATAAATGTTTGAATTATAACACCAATTCGACCAAAGCAAATTATCCCCAATCTTATAAAATAAAATGAACCACTCTCACTATTAACTATTAACTGCTTATTTTTCGACGTGTTTTATAATACAAATTAATTGGAAAAGTTGGAATAAATTGGAAATAATTTATTTCATCATATGATATGTTTCCACAGATATATGTTGAGAATATATTTCGACATATAAATTTAAAAGAGGTTAATCGAAATTCCTATGGCTATAAGTCATGATGAAGGACTTGGTGAAATATCAATAGAATTAAAGATAATTTCGACTGCAAGAGTGAGAATTCAAAATCAGACTGAATAACTGTTTTTAGGTCTTATCTATTGGCGAAAGACACATGGATGCAAAGTGGAAAGCGAGATACATGCAGACGGAAATGTGTCAATGTCGGAAGAAAAGACTGTTTGAGACAATTATTTTGACTTAATATAAACAGGGGTTCTAGTGTCAGGATTCTGGGTGTTCGGTTTATATACAAATCGATCTTGACTGGGCCCGCACTTGCCCCACTGTTGGGGAGGCTGTTAGCTCCTGAATTCGATACCTACACATGTTGGTCCTACTGGCCAAGAATAGGTTGAAGAAATCTAAGGTTAAAGACGCTTTGACAGAAGAGTTCGTCATATTAGTTGTGTCGAAGCTATGCTAAGAAGAGAAGAAATACTTAGATAAATTTTCTAAGTTAAAAGGGGTGTTCGGCCATGAAGCTTTTTCCCTTCGACCAGAAAACTCCGTATCAGCAACAAGTGATTTTGAATCTGAAGAAAAGAGGAAAAAGCAGTTTACCTGGAAGTTGAAGAAAGCAACGTAGCATACGACAGAAGTCAAAGTGCATGCAGAGGACACTTGTCCTCATCTTAGAGTGAGGCAACTCCTCGACGGTTACCTAGTTCTAGTATAAATATATAAATTCTATATAGATTTTCACGTGTTCAACTAATTGTACAAGTCACTCAATATTATTCGAGTACCCGCTGCGTGAGAAAGAATAATAAGAATGTACGTTTGAAACACCACATTTTATAATCAAAGTCTTTTACATTCCTTTTTACATTCCTTTCCATTCTTGCTTACAGCCTTTTATCTTACTTGTAAAGTTTATTTTCCCTTGCATTTTACTTGATCTTTTTACCAGACTTCTACACTTAAACTTATCTCAATCCTCTACCTTTCTCAGTCGAATGTGTTCTTTATTAAAATTAGCATTTTTATCAAAACAACACAAATATTTAGCATATGTCATAGGATCAAACTGATCGATCCTGCAAGTAACCAAAAAATACCCTTTTTGGAAGATCAGCGGTTGTTTACCAATTTTCACGGTAAACAAATTGGCACACCTGATGGGACCTTGCTAATTTTTGTTTGCTTGTTTATATTAACATAAATGCTTTACATAATTTTTTTATTTTACAAAGTGTTGTATGTTATTAAGAAGTGGTAAATTAACCACCAACGAGTGTACAACTAGGAGAAGAAATAGTGAAATGGATAATCATCCAAATAATGGAGAGATACCTCCATCAATTATTGCGGAAACATCGGTTATACCAACCGTTAGTGAAACTATCCCATCAACCGTTGGTTCGGTACCAACGTTGACAGTAACATAAACGGGACCAATACTTTCGTATGTAGATCCCAGAGGTCCATTAGGAACACCTCCACCAAGGGTAAATCCATAATCTCGACCCTATGTTCCCCCAAGATTTTCGACAGCCGGGATGGGTCGGGACCAGCCTTATGGCATGCCAACTACTGAAATGGCTAGTCTTATGAACGCTGCGTCCATATTTTCAGAACCTTTGGTGAGTGCGTCTTCGCCATTACAGGGATCTGGAACCGGTATGGTGAATTTTGTAACAACCCGAATTTAATTAATTAGTTAATTAAATTAAATAAAGATTAATTATTTAATTTAGATGAAGTTTGGTAATTAATCAGATCGTCGGTATCGTTTGAGAAGTGCTATCGGTTTATCAAGTAGAGTTGAATTTTATTCGGTTAACCGGAGATTTAATGCGAGTCAGTTACCGGAGCAATAATATTAGAAATAATATTATTATTGAAATTTGACCGTTTGAGATAAAGTCGGATTTAATCGATTTGACTGGGAAATAGTATTCGATATAATAATATTTATCTTGATTAATTATATTTACTTAATCGGTAGTATGCTACTCGTCCGGTATGTGATTTCCAATAGTTTTAATTAATATTATTTATATTATTATTTTCTAAAAATGACCGATTGATATTTGTTTTGGTAAATCGTTAATTATTTAGTCAGTTATTCGGTCCGGTAGTCGATTATTTTGGTTTATTCAGTTTATCGAAAAATAATTATTTTTATATGGTAATATCGTATTTTGATGTGTATATATTATTATGTGTGTGTTGGCTCCTAAATTCGACAACCTTGTTTGTTATTAATATAGACCATTAATTATGAGTTTAAAGAGTTTCCAGGTTTCGACCAGCTGATCCTGTCGAATGCTCATCAGGAAATGGCACGGTACTTAGAGAATTTCTTTTAAGTGGGAATCTTGCTACCTTCGACATCGAAGGAACTTCTCGACAAAGGTATCTGATGCCCAGGGTGGAACGGTTTGAGATTCAAATGTTTGGAGGGAAAACGGTTCCCAGCAGTTACCAAGCGTAACGTGCCAAGATCAGGAGCATCGAATGCTGTGAGCATGCCAAGTGGTGTCATCTCGAAGCAACGTAACTGCCCAACGGTTACTTGAGATGTGTTTAGTATAAATACTAGTTGTTCACGTAGTTTTCGAGTGTGTTCATCATTATATACAAGTCACTCATCTAGATTCAAGTACCCAGTGTGAGCGAAAGAATTGTTGAGAATGTATGTGTGAAACACCATTTAAATTAATCAAAGTATTTTATATTCCAGCACTTTATTGCCTTTCAATTACTCTTCTCCGTCGAAGCCCTTTTATTCAACGCTTTCATTTATTTTATCAAGCTTTTCTTAATGCAATTTACATAAAGTGTCTTTACTTTACTGGCATTAATCATCATTAGATTTAGTCAAAACCCAGAAAATCAACCATGTCTTAGGATCAATCTGATCGATCCTGCGAGTCACCAAATAAGTAACCTTTTGGAAGATCAGCGGTTGTTTACCAATTTCCACGGTAAACAAATTGGCACACCTGATGGGACTTTGTGTTGATTTTTAAGGTTAACCGTATTTGTATAGAATATCATCTTTTTCGAGAAGTATTGCATGTTATTGAGAAGTGGTAGAATATACACTAACGATACCAATACTACGAGAAGAAGAGAAGCGATGGCGAATCTACCAAACAATAGCGAAATCCCACAAACAAATGTGGGAACAACGGTTATCCCAACCGTAAGTGAAACGGTAACCGCTGGTTCAACACCAGCAGTAACAGTCACACAAACGGGGCCATTACCTCCGTTCACTGGCCCCAGAATGCCTTTGGGAACTCCCCCACCAAGGGGAAACCCAGGAACTAGGCCTTATGTTCCCCCAGGATTTGCGACAGGCGGTCTAAATCGAGAACCACTCTATGGCATGCCAACTTCTGAATTGGCTAGCCTGACGAATGCTGCGTCCACTTTTTCAGACCCTTTAGTGAGCGCCTCTTCGCCACTCCAAGGTTCCGGAGTTGGTATGGCGAACAGGGGTAGGACCCAACTCTTAGGGGGAACGTCCCAAGTAGCGCATGGCCTTACGAACGCTTCGACAGCAATCTTGAGGCAGCAAATGGACGAAAGCAACCATGATATGGTTCAAATGTTGGCACAAACTTTAAGCACAGTGCTAAACCCTCTAATACAAAATACCACCCAGTCGAATCAGCAGATGACAGCGCAAATGGCGCGTCTGGCCGATTTTTTTGGGGTACCCCAACCTATTCGACAGCCCCAAAGGGCACAAATGAGGGGAAACCAGGGTATACTCCTAGAGGAAGAAACCACTATTAACCAAGTCCAGCAGCCTGTCGAAGAAAACCTTAGGACGCGATTGGAACAACCCGGGGTCGAAGAACCTAGGGTCATAGCCCCGGAAGTAAGGATAGTAAACAAAAACCAAAATGCTGACGAAATAGTTCAGCACATCCAATACCAGAATATGGGTTTGGAAAATAACCTGACAGCCATGATCGAAAGAATCATGATGCAAAATGGGATGAATACGGGCTTCCGTAGGCCCAACTTTACATCCCCACTGTCAGAATATGTGTTACAAACAGACTTACCTCCTAGATGTAAAGTCCCTAAGTTCACTAAATTTTCAGGGGACACGACAGAATCCACTGTCGAACATGTAGCGAGATACTTGATTGAAGCAGGAGATATTTCAAACAACGAAAACCTGAGGATTAAGTATTTCCCAAGTTCTCTAACAAAGAACGTGTTTACTTGGTTCACAACTCTTCCCCCCAATTCGATCCACCATTGGACCCAGTTGAAGAGATTGTTCCATGAGAAA